GCAGGAATAGTCATTCTAAATTATTATACTATACTTTTATGAAGAAACATACGTAAATTCAAGCTGCACAGCATATTCCTTTGATATGAATGGGATCTGGTCTGGAGCTAAACGTCTAGCCAGCTGTAATGCACTGTCCCAATGCTGCAAATCTCTTCTCATCTGTTATCAAAAGAAATTATTTACATTTAGTTTCTGGGAAAACCAATCTTGTGATGTAAGTATGTGAAATGATGAATTATGATACAAATGTTTAATGTTATAATTATAATGTTCATATTGGTAGAAAATTTAAGAGAGATGACAGTGTAACAAAGGTTAATATACACTTATCTTAAACAACTGACAGAACGTATCATTTAGAGCATGGGAGAGAAATCCAAACAACTAAGCAGAATTATCACAAGGGGGAGAATATAACAATTAATTTTAGGTAGCTTGCCAGTGTACCTCAAGTGCAGCAATAGGGCAGGTGGATGCTAGATATAAATCCTGAGCCAGATTAAAGTCACTGGTGAACATGGCAAGATGTCCTGCTAAAAGACTGCGATCTTCTATTCCCTGGAAACAGATATGAGTGCAACAACAGTCCTAACATTACAAAGTGTTACTGTTACTAACTTTAAAAATAGTCTACTGAAATGTGTTACTAGATCATTCTACACTCAGAAAAAAAACATATGGAATAACATAATTTATAATTCTCTCCCACCTTCCCCCAAAAATGTGACACTTCTCAATATACAAGCAAATGCTACCATCAAATAGAAAAATACAGCTACTGTCACCAATACACAGCACCCAACAAATTTAAAAGCTCAGCTATACAGCCTTCGTTTGAAAAAAACCTTTGAAGTTAATAAGACTGTTTATACGACTAAAGGTTACAAGACCAGGCATTAATACAATAGTTAAACATCAGGAAATTAAAGTTTTTAAATGAGTGGTCCAGACATTCAAAGCAAGACTTTTAGAATAGTAATTTTTGTGGGGAAAAAAATGTTCAATGCTTTTACCATTGCAACACTCCCCTATCAGCAATTTAGAATAACATATTCTAACTGTTCCTATATTAATATATAAGATACATTTCTGTAACCTGTTAATATTAGATATTTACAATGGTAACAGACTTTATCTTCCCACTAAAAATGATAATTAAAAAACCCTCAAGAACAAAACACTGCATTGTGAATGTCTTGTTTCTTCTGTGACATGTACTGCATACATATGATGACATGTATGGCATGCATACGGAATAATGGTCTGCAAATGTATTTGACCAGTACACGTATCTTAATGGAAAAATGGAGACAAAAGGGTGAGGGACATGAAAACTTCAAAAGAGTACCTACATATAAAATGAGTAGAAATGTATTAGTCTCCTATCAATATATTTTATTAATCTTAAGATGCAAAAAAACCCTAAGGTTAATACAATATGTTTAGGTTACCTATTTTAAAATAAAAACAATATACATGCGTTTATTTTGTCAAGGAAATATATGTATAATGTGTATAATGTGAAGGAGCTCATAAGCTGTACATTTAATAGTTTACCTAGTAATCAAAAGCATTTTATATATAATTTATGCTTGGAATATGAAAAAAATCATAAAGCAGCAGAGTAGTGAAAAGTAATAAAGAGAAGCAAGAACTTAACATATGGAAAATATTGTATGCAACTCCCCAGACAACAAATGACATTAATTATACATACAAACTGTTTATATCTTTTCTGTTTTGTTTCTTATTAAGTAAGGTTTTGAAGAAAACCTCTGTAAGAATTATAAATCCCTGGTGTGGGCAAATTGACAAGAAAGTATGCTCCATGAAAGCATTACAATTGGCAGTCATTAACAGATACAGAATCAAGGCATTCTATCTCAATTTCAGTTGCACTACTGTTAATCCAACCTAACTCCATTAACTTTAATAGCTCCTGGTACAAATGAGATCAGAATATAACCACAAGATTCTGAAATATGAGAATCAAGGGATGATGCATATTCAGAACTTCTTGCTGGACTTAGCAAATATTTAAAAATTCCGTTATTTTGCTTTTAAAAACATCATTTTAATTTATAACTGATTAGCTGGATGTCAGAGTTAAACCCCAAGGTCAAAAGAAACTGATTTCTAGCACTTGAAAAAAGTAGATATGAAAGATGTTGTGCAAATAGTGGCACTTCAAATGTCAGTGTTTCAAAAGTCAACACTAGCCTTTCTTCTAGTATGTTGACACACTGGCTTTCTGGGAAAAGGGCCATCACAACCACTGTGAAGGGCTTTAAAATAAAGTGGGGGGGGAACATTTAGAAAGATGCTTGTAATTTCTGTGCTTGGTTTTAATACACAGGAAAAAGAAAAGTAAAAAAGTTAAAACAATGAATAAAAGAAAACCAGAAAATAGAATAGCTAGAAAGGAGAAAGAAAATACTGATACTGATGACAGCACTAATTAGTAGGGGTGTGTGAAAAGGGCCATATTTGATTCAGATTTGGCCCGAACTGGGGACAGTGATTCGATTTGTTGATTTGGATCACTGTCCTGATTCAATTCGGCCTAATCTGAATCTGAAGATTTGATGCTGTTTGGAGAATCAGCGATTCAGCCACAGACAGCTTTAAATATTTTTTCTATATACCTTGAGGTACCAGGTGCGGCTCGCGAACACTGCAATGGTGAGGCAGATGGAGCATCCCACAGGAGCATAGGTGGGCCCCCCGCGTGCTCAGCAGTGAACCCGGAAGTGGACTGGAAGTACTTCTGGTTCACTTCTGGGTCTGCCACTGAGCATGAGGGGGACCCCCCCCCACCTTCCCCACAGCCTCCCTGCTCAGTGATCGGCCACGGGGGGACCCTCAGTACCCCCCAGATCCAGGAGGCACCAGTCACAGAGCCAGGGGCAGGGGTACCCCACATGCTCTGCGGTGGATCTGAAAGTGGACCACTAACTACTTCATTTGTCTGCTTTATCCCATGGTAACCTGTCTGCTCTACCCACTAAACTGGGGTAGAACTCATAGACAAAACAGCTAGGCAGACAGTCTGACATGCAAAGTCTCCTCCCACCTTTTGAAGTGTAATTTGTTTAATCTGTTCATACTTTGTGTGTGATTTTTCCTTCTCAGTATATGGCAATCCAATACAAAAAGTTCTCCTAATCTCAGGAATTACCAAAACCTCATTTATATGTTAGCTCATATTTGGTATAAAATCAAATTTTTAACGGTTAAGAAACAGTCGAAAAATATATGGAAAACCGGTTAGTATTAAAATGCTGATGCAAATGACCTAGCTGAGTAGGTATCATAGTGAAATATTTAGTACTTACTTGAGTATGTAGAATGCCCAGAGAAATCATTTCTCCCCATTACTTACTTATTTTTCCTTTAAGATAGACTTTTAAAATAAATCTGGCTTTGATTTAAAAAAAAAAAAAAATCCCAAAAACCAATTCCAACAATCTTAAAGGTAAATTAAAAACTTAATTTTTCTTTTTTTTTTTTAAACAAAAATGTGCGACTGCTACTTTTATATTTTACCTTTATTTGCTCTAGTGACATCACCATTCCAACATTTCTAATTGTGCGATAGACTCGTATTGCAAATTCTACCTCCATGTGATGCAAGCAAGCTCTCGCAAGCTCATTCCAACCCGACTGGTTATTCAGAAGTTTGCAAACCTCCCATGCTTCAGAAAACCTATTCAGGGAGAAACACAGAGTTAAAAACAATGATTGTACAGAGAGTTATCTACTCTTAGATTTGTTTTTGTTTTTATATAAACCTTAAGAAAACTAACTTATCCTAAAGTGGACGTCACTTGGGGATTGGCGATATGTAGGTCACAGAGGACTACTGGAGGATCCTATGGCAGGAAGAAGGGAAATTCACACAGATCTATTGGTTTACACTTTGTTCCAGGTGACCCCTTAACTCCCCTTCAGCAAGCCATTGTTTCCTAGGCCTACTCTGGACCTTTTGACTACCTCTCCACTGTACTGGTTCTTGGTTGATTCACTAGACTGGGAACTAAGAGACATCTTCAACCACTTTTGGGGGGAGATGTCATGGAACTCAGAACAGTTCTTGAAAATAAATAGTTCTTTGCTTGCAATAAAGAAAAATTAGTACTGGATCATTTGTTATTGCTTAATCTATATGGACAACCAATTACCTGGCCCAATAGTTCAATGTAACTTTATCAATAATCAGCATGATATTTTTAGAATGCTGTATTGATCTATAGATGGAAAAGAAAACAAGTAATTAACCACATATAATTAAAAAGTAGACCTACCTTTTCAGCATTAAAGTCTGAGATAGCATTTGTTTCAGCTCATTCGGTCCACTGTCTTTCAAATTTCTAAGGAAACTATGAGTACTAAGAAAGATATTGTTTGTTTTCCCGCTTTGAGTCTGACAAGTTAATTCTCCATTATACAACAGCAGTGGTTTATGGGAAAAAGGAACTTTGGTGCCACCTGCCAAAATAACTTTGGACCCTGTATTAGGAAAAAAACAAAACGAAATTATTTAACAAGACCCTTATACTGTAAAATGTTTAGCAGGCAGTCACTTTGAAAGGCTAGGAAATATAACACTGAAGGAATTTTATTCTGAAAACTCAATGAACTTGTTCTTTTCATCGTTAGCATAATAGCAACACTATACATTAGTGTCAGGCAGAACTACGTAAGATCTCTAATTTTGGTTTTCATTAGTTATGGTATGTATTTGACTTTATATTTATTTAGCAAAATTAAAAGTAACTTTACATAAACCTTGAATTGAGAGGCTTTAAGGTTTAGGCAAACATTAAAGATACAGTGAATACCATATGGCAAGTGCTATTAAAGAATGGTTCTCCAATGGATCATAAACAAACAAATGAAAGTACCCTTTACTAGCAGGCATGTGGACTATATGACCAACTGGATGAATAATGGTAATTTGTATGACTCATCAGAAGGCCTGATTAAAATTCTGGCTAAAAAGAAAATGAAAAGGAAACATAAGTCTTGCTATTCATTTTGAGCAAAGATGTGTCTATGTTACCGAAAAGAGAAAAAAAAAACCAATGCAAGTAGGAGTGTGTAGGCCAAAGACTAAAATAGGAAACATGCAACTGAAGACTGAAATGTTTTGGTGGAGTTGTGTAGGAAAACCTACACAGCAATTGCCTTCTATATGGCTAGTTACACTTACCAACAGTAATCCTTATTGTTCATTTCTATATGTACCAAATTCATGTGACTGACTGTGTCTACATGAGACATTTACTGCAAAGTTGCCCAATTAGGTCTGTAGTAAACATCCCGGCATCTAAACATGCAGTATTATTAGGATGGCAAAAACTAATGAACTCTGCTGTAGGTTAGTACTTGTAAAACACAAGTACTATCTTATAGCAGAGTTTTTTTACTCTGTATCAACACATGTGTAGACGCTGATAGGGCTGGCTGAGGCATAAGGATGCTTCAGTGTGGAGGCTGCCTGTCAGCTAGCCTCACGCTGAACTACCCTCAAGCCCCAGCCAGCTCCTCCGGAGCATACCGAGTGCCTTGGGCTGGCAGGCTGACCCTCCAGGCTTCCTGCCACCTGGGGCTGCTCTGACTTGGCTCAATGTGCTGTGGCCCTGGGTGCAAATTCAAATGCAGCACCCAGGATCAATAAATTCTGGAAAGGTATGTGCCAAAGTTTATTGTTGAATGTTTAATTGCATGTGTAGATGTGCCCAGTTTGAATTAAATGGCAATGCTGAACATTATTGAAGAACCAGACATATTGTACATTTCAATTTAGTATGAAATGTTAAATGGCTCACAGAATTAAAATCTTTACAGTACCTTGTATACTATCCTTATGAAAAACATAAGTATACACTTTATCATCATCATAAGCAGCAAATACACCTTTATCTGTTGGCCAGTTTTCCCAGAGGACACCTTTAATAGTTGGTGCAAAATTTGGAATTTCATACACACCATCATTTACCTACAAAAAATAATATGAAATTATTTAAGAAATGGAAAGTGCATGTGACACACTGAATATTGCAATAGACTTATCACCTATCTCCAAAAAAACGTAACAAGAATATAGTAGTTGCCTGATGGGTGATAAAAATTACAAGAAACATGACAAATTTTCTGATGAGAAGCTGTGAATAATAGAACGATTTAGAGAAGAGATAATTTGTAAAAACAATATTGAGAGGAAAACTGGATTCTCTTTTTTACTTTTCTTATAACAGGAAAACAAGGGGACATGCAATTAAATGGAAAGGTACAACATTTAAAAGTGATACAAGAACTTCCTTTTTTTTTTTTTTTTAAAAGTACACAACACAAAGGAGTGCCAACGAATGTAATAGGATTAAAGCACTAGATATTAACAAGGATAATGGAAAAAATCTAGAGTTACTTTAAGAAGAATAAAGCAATTTTAAGATACATAAAGTGTATAACTCAATTACCAAATGCCTGGGATTACGAAGAAATTTCCTGCATGGGCAGTCTACTCCATAATTATGTATTTTTGAACTTCCATTGAAAATTTTTCACACATTCTACTACTGGAAACTGTTTGATCCAATATGATGATTCAACCAACTGATGAATATTTATTCTGATAAAACACACTGTACAGGAGAACAGTTGACAGCGAACTCTGCTGGTAAATATAAATGCCTCGAAGACCCTGAATTGACTTACTGGGCAATAGACAAAGCCGTCACCTTTGTCATCAATGAAAACCAATCTGGTTCCATTCGGGTCTGGAAAGATTTTTCTCACACTGACAGTATGCCGATATTCATTCACATACTTCCAGTCTTCAATGTAGAAATAATGAATAACACCAGTCTAATAATAAATAATAGAATAATCATAATAGTGGTAATAAATGAGTTACTAGACTATACATTCTTTGGGTGACCAATTTTGATGGAATGAGACTGCCACCCCTACTTCAATCTGTCCATTCCTTGGGTGCTGAGCATGGGGAATGTTGAAAAAAGATTATAATTTTTTATAATCTTCTTTTCCCTACTGGCAGCTATTCTGAGGAAAGGCAAGAGAAACTGGAGCTTTTTCCCTGTAAGCAAAAAGGCAAAAATGCTTTTTAATGCATTTTAGTAGAGCAAAGGAGCAGAACAGATTTTGTCTGTCTTCTGCTGACCACTAGCTGGGGCTACTTCTATACAAGAAGGGCTATAAAAGCACTTCAAAATTTAGAAAAACCTAAAACTTGGCATTTTTACCAAACTGATTAAAACCTTGTCTAGGAGCAGCATATGAATGCTGCTGCAGGGAAAAGTGCTAGTGGTGCCTTGGTCCTAGTGCCCAACCATCTGCCTCTGACCCCAAATGGGTCAACCCCCTGACAGCCTTAAAAGGTTGGTTGTTTACTGCTGCCTTAAATATTTAGTAGCACCTCAGAAAAAAAGGGAAAAAAACCCAAGACTTGACTTAAAATGCTGACTTTGGATACAAATTTAAATGATTACACATCACTGTAATCTGCCAGTACTACTTTATTTCATGTAGGTGTAAATAATGAAGGAAGTTGGCTTTAATTTTGTCCCCATTTGCTTAAACACGGTTAAACAGAGTGTTTTCGGGGAGACTGCATATCAGAGCCTTACAACCTACACCCCTGTATCAGAGCCTTACAAATTATGTCTATGATATAATGAACAAGTAAATCAAACAAGAAACTTATTGCATTAAAGAAGATATGAAATAGGAAAAACACTTACATCTGTACCATAAATGAGAAAATCACCAGTTAAAGCATGACACAAGATTCGACATTTATCTTCTACTGCTGGGAAGAGTCGAGTCTCTCGCTCTTCTTGGTCATCCAAACCTTCACCTTCTATCTAAAGCATAAGGAGTAAAGGAAGTTGAACTGCACCATGCTTAATGAGATATTAATAGGTTTTGCCTGTACAAAATAAGTGAATAAGATGAAACACTGGTTGCTACACCTAGCTCAGAATTGCCCTTTCACATATATTACTTACAAACCACTCCCCATTCCCTGCAAGTTCCCACAAGAGCATATACACACAGCTTGTTGAATAGCCAAGAACAAAGAATTTTCTTCTCTGCGACTGCTACTTGAATACAGAATGTATATTTTTTTAAAAGTTCCCAGAAATTCAACTGTTTTCATGTTCTCTATTAAAGCTCTCTTTGGCCTCTTCTGTCAACTGCATCTACTCAGCACCTCGTTTCTACTCTTATTCCAAGATTATTATTATTTTGACTCATTCAATTTCTTCCTCACTCTACCACTACCTGAGTTCAGCTGAATTCTTGTATCTCAAAACCTTCAGTGTACTTACCATATGCAACTGGACTTTACCCTCAAAGAGTGCAGCAGCATAGTCAGAATTAAGACTCATACTGGCTACTGTCCCGAGATACTCCATGTCTTTAAGTTTTTTTACACCTACCAAATTTAAGGGGGAAAAAGAGAGTTACCTATGTTCTTGTGTCTTCACTAGCCATCTGTATAACATATAATTGTCTAAAATGGTATGAGTCAGTACATGCAGAAGGTGAGAAGGAGTTCCCTACAGGAAAGAGATTATGAGGAAGTATTTTCACCCTTAAGACTGCAAAGGATTAGAGCAGGGGTGCTCAACCTCCAGCTCATGGGTCCAAATGTGGCCTGCCAAACCACTGCATGTGGCCTATGTGCCTCCCTACAGATTCAGAAATTTGGTAGCAGGGAAGTACTGGCTGCTCTTCCTGCTGCCAAATTCCCATACCCCTTCTCCCAGCACAGCCAGATCAGGGCCAAATCATGCCCCCTTCTCTCTGTGCTGCTGGGTAGGGACTGGGCCACACCCCTTTCCCCAGGGGGCTGGGCTACACCCTCTTCCCCCTGCGGGCTGGATCACCCCCTTCCCTCCATGTGGCTTGGTTGGGGCTGGACCACCCCCTTCCCTCCACAGGGCTGGATCGGGGTTGGGCCACACCCCTCCCCCAGCCCCCTCCACACAGCCAGGTAGGGCCTTGCCATATCAGCCCCAGGAGCTGGATCAAGCTGACTAAGCGAAAAGGTTGAGCACCCCTAGATTAAAGTGATCTTCTCCTTCCAAGCAAAATCTCACTTGTTAATTTGACTAATGCTGGATTTTTTTCCCCCATTTTTTGAGTAATTTTATTCACAAAAAGTTCTAAATTGAGATACATGGACACTTATAGCCACTACCTAATAACAGGGGTAGCAGAATCTTCTCTACTCTCTCATAAATTCTATTCTATATCTCTAGAGAACTGAGAGTAATTTAGTCATTAGTACTAATACAACTCTGGTAAAAATATCAGTATAGAATGGGGCTATTGACTAATGTCACAGAAGCAAAAAAAAATCCTTCAGTTTGTAATAATTTTCAGTCAGCATCATAGGCTGAGTTTGATCTGATAATGACCCAAATAAAGAGGGCTTCCTATCTCATAACTAACCACTTAAACTGAATTTCTGTTTTGACTGCTTCTACAATGCTTTAGTGCCAGGAGATTCAAGTACTGGAAATCCAATGTCCACTCCTATATTTTGGTGTCCCAATGACAGCTTTTTGATGATTAGAATATTTAAACCCCACACCAGTTTTATAAAAGTCATGTATTTAGCACATAGTGATGATGCTACTCCAAAATAAGAGAACTAAATTTATACTTACTATCTTCTGCAAGTGAATAAAACCAAGCCCGATTGTTCATTCCAACTGCCAAATGACAGAGGCCAACAGCCACAAAGTTAGGCTCCACTTCAACAGAAACTGTGATTGGTAGCTCCTGCATGAAATATTATAATAATATTCCTCATTCATTATGTTATAATATTGGACTACTTATTTTTTTAGCTTTATTTAGATGCAATTTTTAAACAACTAGACTAGCGCACCTTTTCTACATGATTGGCTACAGTAACTTCAAGAAGAGAAGTGAGATATGCAATCCGTGTGCTGTAAGAATCTCCCAGGATTGGAAGTTTTGTCAAGAAGACATGGAGGGATCCCCTTTGCGTAGACACTGCCAGCAACTGCCCATCATCTGTCCATGCCAGTTGATCTAGACCTAAAATATTGAAGAGCTTTTACAAAAAAGTTTCTTGATTGTTACTGAAATCAAGAAAAAAATTGTACTGTTTTAGACTGCAATAGCATCAGAATTTCATAAGTCAATAAACATTTTTCCACATCCTTTTTTTAAGTAATTCATTAGTGAATATTAGAATGATGATAACAATACAAGCAATATTAGAATGATGATAACAATGCAAGTAATACAAATATTAGTATTTGTTTAATTGTAAATAGCACAACTCCACAATAAATGAATTAAACATCGAAACAAGAAGTAACAATGCCCAGCACCTGCTACTCTAGAGATACAGTCTTTTCCTCAATGCTGTGAAAGTCACATATACACACACTGCAAGTCAGGATGAGAACAGACTTGATATCTGCACTTACCACAAGAACAAGCCACTCAAAAGCAAAACAAAGAACATAAAAATACGAATAAAATAAAATAAACATATTAACTTAATAATCTGAATACACTACAAATTCAGAAACAGCAAATAACATTGCTGAGCCACTGGCACGACTGTTTGAGCTCTCATGGTGCTCCGGACAGGTCCCTGAGGACTGGAAAAAGGCCAATGTGGTGCCCATTTTTAAGAAGGGGAGAAGGGAGGAGCCAGGTAACTTTAGGCCAGTAAGTCTTACCTCTATCCTTGGGAAAATACTAGAAAAAAATCAACGAGCGTATTTGTGAAAGCTCAGCAGGGGAAATGCTGAATGCAAACCATCACGGGTTTGTCACAGGTAGATCCTGCCTGACAAACTGTATAGCCTTTTATGACCAGGTCACATACTGCCTGGACACAGGAGTGGAGGCCAATTTTAGGAAGGCCTTCAACACAGTTTCGCATCCTATTCTTAAAGGGAAGCTAACGGGCTCTGGAGTGGATGCCTACACAGTCAGGTGGGTGCCTACCTGGCTTAGGGACCACACCCAGAGAGTGGTGGTTGATGGGTCATTCCCGGCCTGGAAGGAGGCGGGCAGTGGGGTCCCGCAGGGTTTGGTCCTTGGACCAGTGTTATTTAATATCTTCATCAGCGATTTGGACGAGGGTGTGGTGAGCACCTTCTCCAAGTTTGCGGATGATACCAAACTATGGGGAAAAGTGAATTCACCAGAGGGCAGGGAGCAGTTACAGGCTGACCTGGACAGGTTAGATCAGTGGGTGGAAAGTAATAGGATGCAATTCAACAAAGATAAATGTAAGGCACTCCGCCTAGGAAGGAGGAATCCCCAGCACACCTACAGGTTGGGGGATGTCCTCCTCAGCAGCTCAGAGAGATCTTGGAGTCATAGTTGACTCCAAGGTGAACATGAGCCGGCAGTGCAACGAGGCCATCAACAAATTCAATCGCACCTTGTTGTGTATTAGCAGATGCATGACTAACAGATCGAGGGAGGTGATGCTCCCCCTCTATGTGGCATTGGTCAGGCCACAGTTGGAGTACTGTGTCCAGTTTTGGGCACCACATTTCAAGAGGGACACGGAGGATCTGGAGAGGGTTCAGAGGAAGGCCACTCGCATGATTAGTGGTCTCCGTGAAAGACCCTATGAGGAGAGATAGAGAGATCTGAATCTCTTCAGCCTATACAAAAGACGGCTGAGGGGTGACCTTGTAGCCGCCTGTAAATTTATCAGGGAGGACAGCAGGGAATCGGGGATGCGTTGTTCACCAGAGCGCCCCAGGGAGTAACTAGGAATAATGGGTGCAAACTACTGGAGAGTAGATTTAGGTTAGACATTAGGAAGAATTTTTTTACAATAAGGGTGGCGAGTCTGGAATGGGCTTCCAAGAGAGGTGGTCCTATCACCAAACTTGGAGGTCTTCAAGAGGAGACATGACAATCACCTGGCTGGGGTCGTCTGACCTCGGTCTTTTTTCCTGCCAGGGGCAGGGGGTCGGACACAGTGATCCAGTGGGTCCCTTCCGACTCTATAATCTACGAATCTATAAAACAACTAGTCTGAAAAACAGTATTTTTAAATATTTTTGTAACAAGGACTCAGGCAGGAGTCCTGTTACTTAGACAAAGTCGGGCAGGATTGACCTGACAACGAACCCTGTCAGGTGGAAGAAAGCACGCACCCGAGACAGGATTGGGCAATTAGACCGCGAAAACCAGCATAAAAGTAGGCGGTGGGGAGCGACTGTTTGCCTTCGGGTGCAAGAAGACGAACGAGGAATGACGGAGACTTTAGAGGGGAAAGAAGAAGCCAGACCTGCAATCCAGAAGAACGCCAGAGGTGTGGGACTCCAGGAACAGTGGCAGGTCAGTCTTAGAGGGAGATTGCTTTTGGAGAATCTCAGTTGCACTGGTGAGTGCGGGAAGATCCTGAGGCACCGGAAGGTGGATGCCAGGAACCGAGAGAGAGAGAGAGAGAGGGAGAGAGAGAGAGAGAGAGAATGTGCGCCCCTTGGATAAGTTGCGGGGTTGGGGTAGGAGTGAAAACGGAGAGACTGTTTGGGAGAGAGCAGCTGGAGATCGCTCCCAGCAAAAGATTCCGGTGGAGAGGAAGAAACACGGGAAGCACATACCGCTAATGAACTAATTAGCGGCAGAGATTGTTTGCAAAGTAGTTGCAAAGTATCCAGCTCAGAGATTTCTCATTTGTAACACTGGCTTCCCTCGCTAATGAAGTAATTGGTGAGATTGCTATAGCTGTATCACTTTTATTTTGGAAATAAACTAGCACTGTGAGCTTTAACACTGGGGTGGCACTTATCTATCCTAAACATCAAAGAATGCTGATCTCCTTTCTTTTCTTCCCAATCCAAGTTGTGGCAGGCAAGTACAGAGGAGAGACGATGATAAGATTGCTCATCCTGCTCACAATTTTGTTTAAAAAAAAGTTAAGATGTAGCAAGTGCCCAATTTGCTCAATGAACACATCAAAACATATACATGTCAGACAAGAGGGAGTGAACCATAATACCCATGTTCAGAAAGCTTAATGAATACCAGGGGTGCACCAACAGAGTTTGGGGGCTGATACCGATAGCCGATATTTAAGGAGGCATATTGGCCAATACTAATCCGATATTTGATACAGCTGCCATCAGATGGTAAGTCTGGTGTGGTAAAAGGGGAGGGAGGAGAGAAGGGGCATGGCGGGGCAGATCAATGCCCCCATGGTGAGGGAGGGGACAGGACAGGTGCTGCCCAGCCGGGGCGAGGGGTGCATGGGATGGAACTGCGGCTTGTGGGGTGGGGGCAACTCCTGCTGCTGCCTGTACCCCGGGAGGACAAAGGGAGGATGGGACAGGTGCAACCAGGTCTGTGCAGTGCAGGGTGGGCTGCCACTGTGGGGTGGAGCCAGAGCTGGCGCTGTGCAGGGCTTTTCTTGCTGGAGCCTCGGCTTGAAACGAGCTCCAGTGGCACTGGGAGGAGGCTGCAGCCACCCCAAATTTCACTGCAGCTCCAGTCCTAGCACCACACAGCCAAGTGCAGCCCCGGCTGAACACTCCGCCTCCACCCAAGTGCTGGGAAAAGCCACGGCTCTACCCTGCAGCTGTATCCTGCCCCGTGCAGATCTGGCGCCACATGCCCTCCTGGAGCACAAGCAGCAGCGGGAGCTGTCCTCACCCCATGAGCCGTGGCTCCATCCTGTGACCCCCCTGCTCCCAGGCTGGGCAGCGCCTGTCCTCGTCTCTTCCTTCACCACAGAGGGCAGTGGTCTGCCTTCCAATGCCCCTTCTGACTTACCAGCTGGAGGCAGCTCTCCACGCTACTGACTCTGCTCCATGCTGTGCACAAGCTCAGCGCAGCATGGGCATTTATTGGCCAAATTATCGGGCCGATATCTGCTATAAACAATTTTCTTTATATCAGTACCAATCTGATATTGGACCGACGTATCGGTGTACTTCTAATAAATACTCTTTAATATCTACTGAATATCAAAATTGTTTATGTGATAAGCGGCTTACATGACTTGACAAAATACATACTAGATTGAGAAACATTTTCATACCTTTATTTTCATCATCCAGATTTATTATAGCATACATTTCTTTCAGATCTGCCAGGTCACGGATCTTAATGCTAAAACAAAATACAGTAACTTTTAGTTCTATTACTTTAATCATCATGAACTGAAAAATAAACAAAGGAGACAGACTTACTATGGAAACAAACAAACAAACAAAAAGTACTAAAAGGGACAATATAAAGCAGTGTAGGTTTCCCATTTGAAAACAGACACCATCAATCTAGCAGTGTTGTAGCAGTGATGGCCCAGGTATAGGACAGAGATATTAGTAAAATTAAACAATATCTTCTATTGAACCAAACTGTGTAACTTGGCAGAAATAGGAGACAACTTCTCAGTCTTCAACTGATCTTAAGATGAATATTGAGGTATGCACTCTGATATAACTTATATATATGACAATAATTATATAGGATCTAGGCATCACCCCCTGGAGGCGGAGGGTAGACCAAGGTCATCTTCCAGGACAAGGGAGGACTTGGGGATCTCCCACACTGTCCAGCCAGGGGGTTGGACCAAGGTGGCCAGTGGCCCCAAGGCCAGCTGCACCAAGGTCCTCGCCCCTCTGGGGCTTTGCAACAGGTATGAACCTCTTGCAGCCCCAGTAGAGCCTGTAGAGTTGCCACCTCCTCCAGGCAACACAGGCTCATCCTCAGCCACTGTCCCTGCTCTACCTAAGGCCACTTGTAGAGTGGTTGTTGTGGGAGACTTCCTCCTGAGGGCGCAATCTGCCACCCTGCCCCCTTAGCCCAGGAGGTCTGCTGCTTCCTGGAGCCTGTATCTGGGACGTAGCCAAGAGGATCCCAAAACTCATCTGGCCCACTGACCATTACCCTATGCTCCTTATCCACGTGGGCACGAATGACATGGCTCGGAGCAATCCCAGCCAGGTCATGAGGTGCTACAGGGCTTTGGGAGCAGGGCTTAAAGGGTTGGGGGCACAGGTGGTGTTTTCCTCGATCCTCCCAGTTTTGGGCTATGGGCTGAGGAGGGAGAGGAGGATCGAGGTAGTCAACCAGAGACTGCAGTGCTGGTGTCATCAAGAAGGCTTCGGCTTTATAACAGGGAACCCTAGTCCTGTTACCAGAGAGCAGGTCGGCCCCTTTAAGACCAGAACTTTCTGGGCACAGCGTGCTGCTAAAGTGGGGGTTAAAAGCTTAGCCTGGCCAGCTAGTCAGGTGACCAGAAGGGGACAGGCCAGAGCTATAAAAACCCTGGGCTGGGCAGCAATAGGGGCCAGCAGCCAAAGGGGAAGGAGTGTGTATAAGAGCTCCACGGGGAGGCTTGGTGAGCTGTCCAGCTGCTGCAGGAGGGGAACTACTTAGGACTCTTGTAGAAGTGGCGGCAGCCCCAGAAGAAGGACCGTAGCAGACGATGGGAAGCAGAAGCACAAACCCCTGTGAAAATGTAAGCTGGCATGCTGCCTTTTTAAAATATTTTTGGTGGCGGTTATAGCCCATGGACATACTGTTTATAATTTTGCTCGATTAACACCGGTGGTTTGGGTGAGGCTATTGGGGAGGAGGCCCACTACAGTGTGGGGACCCTGGTGCCAGAAAGGGCACAGTACCCGGCGCCAGAGGGCGCAGTCATAAAAGGCCAGGGTGGCCTGGTGAACCTGGAGTGCAGCTGTGTGTTTTTGGGCTGGGACAGTGGAGGTTCAGGGCCGCTGCTCGGCTTTGAACTTGCAGCCCCTGGCTGTGAGGCCGGTGGGTGGGCAACAAGTCCCAAGACCAAGGCGCTAGAGCCTTGGAGTTCAACCCTATCTGGTGGATTTAGACGGGGAGGCCTAGCTAGAGAAAGACAGGGGTCAAGGCCCGTGGTGGCTGAGAACCCCAACATACAAAATACAATAGGCAGTCTCTCGCTTACAAGAACATCTGTATAATATTTCCATTAAGACGTGACAGGAAAGTAGAAAGCGGGACACGAGAAACATTAAGGGGACTTCAAGGGCGCCCCTCATAGGTCGTGGATAAAAGGCAAAAGATGGCACTGGGGAGGGCGACCTGTTACAGGCTTCCACGATCACAGTCCGCTCTTTGGTGAGAGAGGCAGTGGTCTGCTGGGAAGAGACAGCCTCCACCTCACTCCGCTGGGGAGGAGGGTCTTCTTAGCCAGACTGGCTGATCTGCTCAACTGGGCTTTAAACTAAGCCCACCGGGGCATGGGTGGATAACCGTGCATGCCGACGAGGCAACTACTGCATAACCAGCAGATTTTATGGCACCCAAGGGAATCCACAACTACACCAGCCCTGGAATGGTGTCTGCCTGGGAGTGCAAGGAAGCCTAGGGCTTCCAATGGGACACTTGTGTCTGTACACCAATACCAGGAGCTTGGGGAACAAACAGGAGGAACTGGTCCTCCTGCTAAGCAAGAAAGACTACGATCTCTTAGGGATAACGGAGACCTGGTGGGACTCCACCTATGACGGGCTATACCCTAGACGGCTATACCCTGTACAGGAGAGATTGTGTAGATAAATGGGGTGGGGGTGTAGCTCTCTGTGTCAAGGAAAGCTACACGTCCCTGCAAATTGCCATTGGCACCGAGGGAGGACGACTGGAGTCCCTCTGGGTTAAAATACGTGAAGAACGTGGCACAGGGGACATCATGGGGGGGAACCCCACAGCACGCTTATAAGCTCGGCAGTGCTACATTTGCTAGCACCACAGCTGAAAGAAACTTGGGGGTCATGATTGACCACAAGATGAAACATGAGCCACCAATGTGATGTCGCAGCTAGTAAAGCAAACAAAACCCTGGCTTGCATCCATAGATGCTTCTCAAGTAAATCTCAGGATGTCATCCTCCCGCTGTACTCGGCCTTGATAAGCCGCAGCTGGAGTAATGCATCCAATTCTGGGCTCCACAATTCAAAAAGGATGTGGAGAAGCTTGAGAGAGTCCAGAGGAGAGCCACACACATGATCAGAGGGCAAGAGAAAAGGCCTTATGAGAGGCTGAAAGCCACGGGACTCTTCAGCGTGGAAAAGTGCAGACTCAGGGGTGACCTGGTGGCTGCCTATAAGTACGTAAGGGGTGTGCATCAGGATCTAGGGGAATGTCTGTTCACCAGAGCGCCCCAAGGGATAACAAGGACCAATGGTCCTAAATTCCTCCATGACTGTTTTAGGCTGGACATAAGAAAAAACTTCTTTACTATCCAAGCCCCCAAGGCCTGGAACAGACTCCCTCCAGAAGTGGTACAGGCACCAACTCTGGACTCATTCAAGAAATGTTTGGATGCTTATCTTGCTGGGATCCTTTGACCTGAGCTAACTTCCTGCCCCTGGGGCAGGGGGCTGGACCTGATGATCTTCAAGGTCCCTTCCAGCCCTAATGTCTATGAAATCTATGAAATATGAAGCCCTTGACACAGTCTCTCAGATAAAAAAAGGATCAAAAGGAGGTGATCTTTCATAAATGCCCAAGGGATTTCCAAGGTGTGTTGGAAATCTGAAGAGACAATAGAGCAGCTATATCTATGTGGTGGGGATTGCCTAAGCAAGTTTTATATGTTGCATTATTAGCTAACCTGTAACCAACACAAAGGAGATACCACAAAATGCCAGGGTAGGGGCCACTGACACCAGATGAGTCTATGCAGTCCTGTAGAAGGAATTGAGATTCTCGGCATGCTAAATGCTTTATAGATTTTACTATCAGCTAAGTAGTCTATTTTTGGCATGGGATAATAAAGAAATATCTGCCCACTATTTTTATAGTTCTGTATGAGGCTTAAAAATTTGATATAGCTGAAGTTGAACATTTCACCCAAATTCCCAGTTACACCTGTATACCAGCCTGCATACCTGTCCATATAGCTGGTGGCTGCTAATTTAGCTTCACCAATACAAGCATCTTTACACTGTTGCAACTGTAGCCATAAAGAGTTAGAGCTCTAGTACCAGAAGCAGCAAAGCTCTATGTAGGCTGATGCACTCTTCTAGGAAGCCATCTTTGGTATCTCTATGCTGTACTACAATGGACATACTTTATCACTCTTTAGAAACTGACCTAGTTAAAACTAGTAGGAGACCTAACTGGGGGTAAAGTTACACTTCTATAAAGTTCTTTATATGAAGGTAAGTTAACCTATATTAGACTCCATTGGCCCTGGCTAGACTAATTCCTGTATCTGAGCATGGGCATTTTCACACCACGCTAATATATCCAATGTTACACAAAAACTTGTGGAACACATGTCTAGTGTTCAACAGATAGATCAAATTATGTAAGTAGCATCAAAGAGAAATTATTTGAACACTGTCTCCTACTGCTAGTGAGAAGATTGTTGGGAAATGTGCACCTCACAGCAACAAAAATGTTTTGCTGATGCTTTAGTACTTAGGCATCGTGTCAACAAAAGAGCAAAAAATATCAAAAGTGATAATGAATAAATGTTAGTATTCACTTTAAGCCACTTTCTATTTCAGAATTTTTTTGCATAAATAGTGTGACCTACCAGTTGTCTCCACATGATGCAGCTTTATTTAGTGACTGTGATACTGCAATGCTGGTTAGATTATCCTTATGGTTGCAAGTTTGAAAGATCTCTTGACCAATTTCTCGAATGTGTGTAGAAATGACCACAAAACAGCCACGAGAGAAGCCAATCATAATGTAGCCATCGCCATACCTATAACAAAAAGAACAAATAAGAGAGATGACTGGGAACTGGACTTCACAAACAGCAGTGCAACATGAAGGTCAGGATTTAAACTCCTCATGGAGAACACACACAAAAAAATTGTTCTTGGGCTGTAATGTCTGTTTTCCACAATGAGGTCATCATTGCAGGAAAAAATAACCAAAATATACTTAGCAGAATTAAAAAAAACCCTGTGCCACAACATTTATAGACAAATATTCCTTGTTTTCAATATTATAATTGAACTTTACTCATGACTAGGAGTCAATCTAATATAGCATCACTGTCATACTAAGTCTCTTTAGGAGAGAAGCCTTCCAGATTCAGCTATATTAAAGCAAAATGGACATGACCTTGTAAATATGCACATATATAATTGTATGAATATAAGAAACCCTCAGAAGCTTGCTGTGTATATTTGTAATTAGACTGCTTAGCTACTTTTCATATTAAGGACAACAATACAGGGTTGTTATAACTCAGGAACCTTTCCTTTCCTTTCTTTATGTTCTTGTGTAACAAGGTATTTAGTGTAGTTCACAGACTTGTTGGAATGTAACAGGGCCATGTTGTGAGCACTTCCTCTACGGCCTTGAACTTGTGACCTCTAGGCTGTCAACTTTGTATCTTGGTGCCCATGCCACCTTAGCCTCCATCTGTCCATAAGGTAAGAAAAGACAGCTACACAATTCCCTAGAGATTCCAAGTGCTGGGTACAGATGTTGGTTCTATGCTATCTGGATAAATGGAAGAAACTCCAATGTAACAACTAAAACAGGAGGGAGGTAGCCAGCAGCTTTTGAAGCATGCTCTAGGCCTTTTTTTCAAGAGGACTGCCTACCTACTGCATCCTCTTACTGTTATTCAGGAAGAGAGCAGGTTACATTAATAATACAGAAAGACTGTCTCACCAGCTTCTCATCCAAACAGAAACCATGCTGCAAGGCCCCCAATTTCACTTTCTTAGTAAGCATGTCCTTCTGGTAGTATGTGTGAACAAGTGTAGCACCAAGTCTCTCATTTCATTTAGACAATACTGCTCTTTAAGTAACAGGATTTTCAAATTAAAGTCATTATAAATTATACATGCCCTTAGTTAGAAAAGAATATCGTGTTAATAAAACATCTTGGTGTGACAGTGTTATACCGGTGTTAAAATAATTGCCCAAAGTGTTAAAAGATAAAACATGCATTAGGATATTATCGCTGGCTCACCATCTATAAGTCACAATGTTGCCATAACGCTGCTGAAATTCCAGATCAATTGGGTTATCAGGATCATTCAAATTAAAAAGAAACAATGTTTTCTTGCCAACAACCACACTTATCTGGCAACAGAAAAAAATGAAAACTCAAAATAAGAATAGCATCATTAAGATACTTATTTTTACTGGAAAAATATATACTTTCTACTTCCACTACTCTTTCACAATTCAGCTTAAGGTCCAAGACTACAGGTTACATTTTAATTTAAAAAATTTAACTATAAAATGTTTTTTTGGATTGAGAACTGTCACCTCTATGGTGGAAGGAAAAAGTATCTCAAACCTGTACACTGAACTACTCCTTGGGGGTGCAGGGATATAAACAAAACTTTTGAAGAAGTAACATTGCTGAATATATCAAATAATGCAATGATCCTAGTCACTTTTAAAAATTCACAGCCTTAAAATTAGGAAGATCTACAATTTCAGATCAAATGCCTCTTATTTGAAGTAACCCCAGAGGTTTTGCCCTTTGGTTCCTTTCTTTCC